AGGACAAGGCGGGAAAACTGGGGATAAACCAAGTTGCACACGGGGGTACAAAGGAATAAACCAATACATAATACAGGGATAATAAAACATACAAATAACGCAACTCCACAGTAAAGCTGGAAACTTCCCACTCCTCCCAACCCATCTGCTGTTTAAATGAGGGTTTGTGCATTTATGAGTGGCTTCCATGCCAGGGTCAAACATGGACAACTGTGATTCTGTTGTAGGGAAAGCTATATGCAATTACTGCTATGGATGGCTGCTGTCAGTTTGAATACTGCAGGACGAGGTGCTGTTTCAGCAGCTGCACAAAAAATCACCAATGACTAGGTGTAAAATTAATCAACATGTTTAAGAATCTTCCTAAGAAATGATGGTTATTTGTGGCTTTGATTTTGGTCCTTTGGGAGTCACATAGCATATAATGGGATCATCAGTGTTTCCTTTGGGTTAGTCCACCATGTACCTTAAGTTGAAATTGGGCTAGATTTCATGTCGTCTATTGTATTTAAGTTCCTAGCTCTCTTGGTTCTGTACACAAAATCTTTGCACAGCAGAATCAACATGGGATCAACTAGAGAGATGAATTTGGTCCTGGTCAGTTCTTACTATATGAGCTGTGTTGAGTGGTATGTTTGCTGTCACTCAGGGTAAGAGATCTGACTCACATCAAGTCAGTCCTGGAAGCAATGGAATCCGATGTAGAGATTTGTGTTTGTGAAAGAAAAAGCATTCAGGTAAGGAAAGTATTTTGAGATGGTAAAAATGGATTAAAATTATTTTTTAGTTATGTATGTTCAGAGAAGAGGTATTTCATCTTTATTTTTCTGAGCTACAACTTTTGTTACTGGTATATTGGTTGTACTTCCACTTGGGTCCTGTGTTGTCTTCAGGATATGCTGGATCTGCTACTGGAGTGGGAATTGGGAGTAACAACCAAGGAAAACCATCTATTCTTATGTTTTAGGAAAGATATCTTGAGCAATTCTGTCTGCAAATTTAGTACTCTAAACTGTTTGTTTTCAAGTATTCAATGAAAAAACCCAAGACTCATGCCCTCTCAAGCCTTAGAGCAGCATGCAAGAGTGCTGCTTAAAGTCAAAAAACAAAAAAAGAACAAAAATGTCAGCAGAAACACTCAATTAATTAATGTTCTGTCATATATAATAAGAATAATGAAAATAAAATTAAGTATGAAATAGTATGCAGAATATTACATTGACACAATTTCTAGGCTTTCACAAGTATTGAAGAAAGTCTTGTTTCTGCAAAATATTTATTTTGTGGTTGAATTTCTGTTTTAGTTTCATTTAAGATGCAAACTTTTATATAGCGACACTCATGAATTCAGAAAAGAACATTGAATATATTTTATAAATTCTACTTGTAGATTTCTTTATAGACTAATATAAATCTGATTGATTCCTATTATAAAATGCTACAAATGTTTGATTAGATGTTTTTAGTCTCTATGATTTTTCATGGCATTTTGGCATGACCTGTAATACCATTGTAATTATTATGCATGTAGGCATTTTCACAATATTTGGAAATAAATTACCTATCAATTCTTGCTTTTAATAAACAATATCAGAACTTTTGCATTGTCCTTATAGCCTACTCTAAAGGCTAGTGATAAGTAGTTTAATTGATTTCAAGAGTCTGTAACTCTAAGACATTATCGTAGGGGCATAAAGTCATGCACAAGCTGTAAATCATAGTTGATTTACATGAGAGGTCTCTGGAGAGCCTGATGAAATAAATTTTTAAAATTTGGAAATATTTTCCCCTATCTTTGGATGCTGTTTAGTGAGTTGTGGCTGAATTAAATTTATTCTTTGGATCTTCTTGATTTTACAGACATTTATAGTAAACAGGACCAAGCTAGCCACTGCTCTTTTCCCAGGAAAACTGGATGATACTGTTAATATATCAGCTGCAAAATATTACTGTTAACCTTTATATTGTCCCCTACTAGCTTCAGCATCATCATTAACTGAAGTGTGACTCACTTCGCCGAGGATAAATTGTTCCATTTAAGAGGCCACACGAAGAGCATTACCTGCACAAGCAGGGAAGAGTGCTGTGCAGTTTGGCAGATGCCTCTTAAGAAGAAGTGTTGGAGCAGGTGATGCAAATAAGGGGAACATAACAAGGGCCACAGCTCCATTAGACTGCCCAGTTATTTGCTCTCATGCCCATTTTACCCCTTTGAATACCCATGTGGATAAGTGATACACAGAGGTACTGAAAAGGTGAGAGAAAGCTGTAGACAGCTGAGCTGTCTGCATATTTGCCCTTGGAAAAAAGGGACTCTGGGTGTGCATATAAATTAATTTATTGGCTGGTCTTCTCTACTTTTTTTNNNNTTTTTTTTTTTTTTTTTTTTTTTTTGCTACTGTTAACTTTCTCTGTGAGATGTCTTTTCATGGCTTGAATTTTTACAGGAAGAATTGTGTAATTTGATGCAATTTAGGACTGTCCTGGACTATACTGGATTCAGAGTGGCATTATAAGTTTCAGCCTAAGCTGTTTATCAGCTATACTGAAAGTTATAAACATAAAAGATATCTTTTTAAATTAAATGAATGTACATAAACAGATTCAATCATCAGCTAATTCTTTAAAAACTGTTAAGTGTATATAATACCACAAACCATGCAATTGATATAATTTAGGAACACTTTCAAAAAAGGTGCCACCCTTACCAGAGCTTCTGTGAACTTCTGGACACAGGTTTTACTGAATCTTGACTTTCATAGTTACTTTAAATTATAGACTTAAAATAAAAAAGCAACCTATTAATAAATACCATTCTATTTCAGCACAAAAAAACTTTGCCAAAGTAATGGTAGGGCTCTGATTTAAACAAAGAGGAGATTTAAGGAAATAAACACCTACAGTGACATTACAGCATAAATTTCAGCTATCTGAATTGCAACCCATTGAAGGCAGAGTTTGTCTTAATGGTTATTATTATTTTGGAGTCTTTTTCCCTGCAGGCAGTTCAGCTTCTCAAAAAAACACCATTTCTTTTGTCCTTCTCTTTGCCCTTATCCAAATCTATACAATCTAAACCACTGTAATGTTGAAATAATGAAAATCATTAGCAGAATGTGTGAGGGAAGTATTATTATCCTCAGTTTTTCATATGAATAATTGAAATCAAGACAGAAGTAAAAGGATTTGACCAATTTCACCTAGGAAGTCTGTGGCACAGTAGGGAATAGAATGTGAGTCTTCTAAATCTAAGGTTAATTTCCTAACTTCTGACCCATCTAACCTCTGTAATTAGTCTCCTTTCCCATGTCCCAGGTGAATGTGACTAAATATAACTCTAAGATATTGTGTTTATCCTTGATTTGGTTTGTGTTGGCTTCCTCCCATTCTTCCCCACATTCCTATTCTGTATTCTTTTTATATAAGGTTTTATTTTTTCTTATGAGATAGTGTCTGAAAAATAAATAAATAGAGAAGTTAATTGCTGGGTTAGTCAATTATAGTGTCCTTGACCCTTAGAGTTGATTCAAGTTTTGAGAAAAATATACACTACATAATTTTCATTATGAAAGTTATAAGTGATATAACATGACAGACATGAATTTTGCCTTTGTTTTTAAACACATGGTTTTTCAATTTCAATCTTCTATTAGGAACAGAAAAAAAAAGAGAGAAGAGAAGAGAAGAGAGAGAAGAGAAGAGAAGAGAAGAGAAGAGAAGAGAAGAGAAGAGAAGAGAAGAGAAGAGAAGAGAAGAGAAGAGGAGAAGTTCATGAATTCTTTCCTTTATTAGAAGATCCTGTAATGCATTAGTCTCAAGAGACATCTGTTTTCCATGGTATTCTGTCATCTTTAGCTGACCCCATTCTTCCTTTCATTACCTAATAGACTGGTCTGGGAGGACCTCATTTGGATGGAAGGAGGAAATATTCTTCCTCGGATAGAATGAGGGCAAATCTAGTAATCTTCAGCAGCTTGATACACAAGCCCCAGTTACATCAAAGCAAAGTCTGGGTGAGATCATTAGAGAAAGAATTTCTGAATAAATCTATATAAAATTGTCTGAAAATGTTAATTAATTAATAAATTAATTCTTACTGGCTAAGACCTCCAAAATTAATTTTTCTACAAGCAGATTTGTACACTAGTCTCCTTTGAACCCATATGACAAAAAATACATGCAAGTACCTTACCCCACTTTCTGTCAATCTTAGTTCTATCTTTAAATATTCAAAATTTTAACAATCATAAAACATCCAAATGTGTAGAAGTTTCTGCAGTTAACAGAGACTGACTTTCAAAGCTATGAGCTTTTTGATCTCCTAAAGATCTGAGAGCATTTTGTAGTTTACACTTGCATAGAGGTGTTTCAAAAGAGATATGATTATCTCATATTCATAAAAAAGCATGAGTTATTTTTATTTTTAAAAATATACAAAGCATTTATTTGTGTGAACATTTTTCCAGAAAACCCAAAGGTTTATGAGACAAAAGATACAAGGAGCATTAACTTTGAAAGAACATAAGAGAACATGTGAGTTTTTATTCATATTCTTTTTTTATTATATGAAAATGAAGTAGTCCCTTAAATGGAAGAAATCCAGCATAATTACTTTTCCACATCAGTTTTCTGTCATCATTAGTGGGAAAAAAATACATATAAAATTTAATGGGTGTGAACTGATTGGCAAGAAAAGTTGCAAGCTAAAAAGAAATACTGAAAATACTTCAGATCTCTATTTTCTGGGTCAAGTATGATTTTAGAGCAATCTGTATATGTCTTAAGCAAGTAGAGGTTATAATCAAGAGGAAGAAAAATTAGATAATTCTATAAATAAAATGTCTATTTTCCTGAGTAATTTCTAGTTTGCATGAATAATCTAGATTACTGGAATTCACCCACAATGTTTAGTATACCCACATTTGGAAAAAACTGAACTTTTGCTGAACTGTCAAACATATAATTTCCACTCAACTAATTTTTTTATCGGTTTATTTTTTTTTTCCAAGAGAATAAACAGGTTAGTCAGTTATGGAATGTCTGATAAGGGAAAAAGATTCATTCTTAAATGTTCTCCACACAATTATTTTATTCTCTAGAAGTGAAGGAAAAACAGTGTTGCCTTAAAATGTCTGTGAAGAGTTGACAATAATTTCTTATTGTTTTGGCAAAAGAATGTGGATAATATTGGTTACACTTGAACTGAGTACTGTGATTTATTTTAGAGTCAGTGTTATTCAATTTGGTGTTTAGCTGCCTTTTCATCATCTCTGTACTTAGATCCACTGAGAGCAGAAGTTGCTGGGCACTGCTTATGATTGTTTGGTATTTCCTACTGGTATACTATGTGTGTTCCTTTGAGATAGGAAATATGAATCTTTCCTGGAGCATATGTGGCCCCAAAATGAAAAACCCAAACCTCCAAACTGCCTCCTCCTAGCCTCTCCAACAACTATTTTCAAAGGATCTCTCCAGCTCCCTTATCTCATTACTACACCTGATGGCTCTGCCCAACAGCTTTCCCATCTCTCTTCAGGGCCCTAGAAATGTCCAGATTGACTGCTATAAGCAATGTGTTTGGCTGTTGTTTCAAGTGAAAAATGGACAGAATGTAATTTTCTTTGTTTCAGTATCATATTTTTAACTACACACTGTTGTCTGCCCAGAACATGTCTGATGAAACTGGAAAGCCTTATGCCTTCCTGAATTTCTAAGCACCACTATACTTATGTAAAGCTATTAAACAGTATATGAGGATTAATGTATATAACGAGTGATCAGCTCAATTAAATTTCCATGAAAAGCAGCACACAAAGAAAAAATGTAAAATAAAAAAAGGGAGTAGAGATGGTATAGGTCAGAAACTTGTTCCCTCATATCACTGCTGTGTGAGGAGACATACAAGTATAGAATTCATGTGCAGCCACAGGGATATGTGATGTGTTAAAAAAATACTGCCAGCCTTCCATCTGACTTTCTTAGGTAGCCAAGTATTGAATAAATTTTGCCTTATATGTGTAATGAATTTATTATTGAAATGCCCATTAGGTAATGTAAGACAATAATCTCCATTTGCATATGAGCCAGATGCGTACCAAAATAGCTGCAGTTTGAAAGATTTAAACTTTCAAACATTGTACCACAAAATATTGCTTTTTCAAAGACTTTAGCATACTTAAAGCATTTTCTGTGTGTCTTTCCCATGGCTTTAATTACAGATGTAACTATTCAGGACCTTTGAAAATCAAACTAAATGTTTTTAAGATCATCTTAAAATCAAACTAAATGTTTTTAAGATGGTTACTCAGAAAATTAGAAATTAGGAGAGTGATTTATGAGTGACACAGGAATTTGTTGACAAAATCAGAGATGAAATTCAGTTCTTTGGGCTGAAGATCCAAACACTAGGTTTGGTTCTTTCTTCTTCTTTTTTTTTCATTTTTTTGGTACAAATATACCAGCTTTTAGTACAAATGTTGCTGGGGACCTACCATTATGATCTGTACCACCCTTCTTCATGTGAATAATACTGTTCTCTGCCTCTCATTAGAGTTCCAGCCTTCAGATCCTGTTATGCCTTTTCCTGCTAGATTAAGAATCATTGTGCGATCAGAAAATTTCTAGCAATATTTGTGTCAATGTTATTTAGAACATGAAAAGAAGTAACAAATTTAATATCAAATTAAAGTGGAAGGAATTATTTGACTCCACTTTTTCTATAAACACGTGATGTTTTAATCTGTCTCCATCCGTAATGACCTGCACATTTACAGTTCTCTGTTTTAAGAGACCTGAAAATCTAATCCAAAGTTATAATCACAGAGAAGATGTGTAGTGGGCATGAACTTCCTAGGAGCACAAGGCTTAAACCGGAGAAGGCTGCATTGGATTTGGGACTGCAAGATTACGTTTCCATTTTTTGCAAAATGAGTGTCTGGCTTAACATGTTCTACTTATAGTCAGAGCTGTGCATTAGCAAGACAGTATTTGCTTTCAATACCTAGTTTGCATCTTTGTATCATGCTGACCCAAAACGTGTGGATGTAGAAATCTGATCACTATTAGCTTGATGAGTTTCTGCCCGGCCCTTGCACAGTCTAGGTGAATTCCAAGGTGCCAAAAT